ACAATGACGACTCAGTCCCCTTCAAAGTAGACACCCTGGGACCTCACACAGCTCTCCCGGCATCTCTCGGTCTGCACACGTTGTTCAGCATTCTCAGGTGTTCTGCCAGCCGCAGGCCTTCCAGAACGAGGGTCCACACTTCAACACTTTGAAGTGTTTGTGCCACACTTGAATTCGCACTGAACTCATGGCATCCTCCCCGAAAGCCTTCTGAAATCATCCGAACAGTTTCCATGGAAGAATGTTCAAGCTTAACACAAAATTGGATGCACGTTCCTTGCTCTGCTGGCTCAGTCATTTTGAACGTGATGGCCACACAGTGCACGTGCTCACTCACTGGCATCTCGCACCCCACTGCACTAGTACAGTGGCATCGTCATAGTTCACGCATGCGCATACCCGCCCGCTCTCCTTGGCTACCGGCCTACGTTGAGGTCGTGCAAACCATTCCAGTCATGTTAACAATGGCTGGATACTTTCCAGACGGACCTCGTCTCTGTAAATGATACTTCCATGAGGCTTGAAGTTATTTTCTCCCATAAAGGACTAATGAGGGATGGATGTTTTTACAAAGGAAAGTCTGAAAGCAAGCAGGTGGCATTATATTACTATAGTCCCCTTGCTCTGAATGGACACAGTGTTGGGTAAGGCATAACATCCAAATCAGCCCCCAACGAAGATTAAAACAGAGTTTAGCTCATTGGTTGTTATAAGAGTTTAGCGATTTAATTTTTGCAAAGCCTTTAGAACAGTGCCTGATACATAGTAAACGTTATGTGTTTGTTCAAGCAATACAATTCTCCTGTATTTTCATTTTTAGATCCTTCTACTTCCAATGGTGTCTCAATTGGTCAGTGATCTAAAACATGTTTTTTTAAGTACACTAGCAGAAATTAAATATGTCAGGAACCCTCCAAAATATTTTATAATCTACATGACCTGTTGGGAGCCGGACATTCAGATTTTCATACAGTGCGAGGTTCCTTAAATTACTGATAGCTGAGTTTTGTTTTCCTCTCTTTCTAATGGAGAATAAAATAGGAATTAGAGAAACCCATTGAAGTTGGGGCACAGGGACCTTTCTACAGCTTTGCCAGTCAACAAAGACATGTTCTCAATGAAGTCACGCCCCAACTTTTAAGCCATTCCTCGAATTAGAAATGTTTGAAAAAACTTCTCATTAAATTATGACTGTGGAAATGTTTGGCATCAGGTGGCTATAGAGATCATTAATTTAAACTTTTCAATTTTTACTCAAATAGTTTAGTATATTTTTCTCTTTTCATCAGCAAAATAAATGGATATAGTTTCTATTCCTCTGAGAATCTATATGAACTAGGCTCTGTAATCTAAAACTCTGTAATCTAAACTCTGTAATCTAAAACTATTCTTTAAAAGTCCCTATAAATTGCTTTCTTGTCATTGGTGAATACTTTTTATCAGGGCTCCCAGAGTGTGGAAGCCAAACCAATGCTGGTCTGTGGATAGTTAGTTTACAGTAATCAGGAGTAAGAGTTTGCAAATACATAGCAATTTGACAGAGAAATTTTATAGCTATTATTCCAATAGTTTTTTTTTTAAAGAAATAGGGTTTATATTTTGCATAAAATTATTTTTCTAATAATTCTGTTTTACTGTATTTTACAAGAGTATTGGTCTGCAATGAGTTGGACATTTTCAAATGAAAGGAAGGAGGGAGGGAGGGATAAAAGATAGTCCTTCACCACAGTGGGAAGTACTGCTAGACAAATAGGAAAATGTTTTGGCATGCTAAATGGGTCGTTTGATTGCTAAATAAACCCTTCATACAATCAGTCAATCACCAATCAATATTTTTGTTTGTTGTGGTTACCACCTTGAATTTTAATTTGTTGCACACTTTAATTCCACTTAAGTCTGCTGGGTTTTTTTCTTGGGGGTTAATAAGGGAAGGCTTACCTTTTTCCTGTAGCCATTCAAGAGCAGTGTTGAAGTCCTTCTACAGAAGCAGATACATAATAACATTGTTTCACTGACTGGCAACTTGGCAATTGTGTTTGGCTTTCCTCTGAAACTTACATTTCTCTCTTAAAAACAGGTGAGAAGTTTTGTTTGTAAGCACACAACATTCGGAATAATCTACAGCTGCCATGTAAAGAAAACACAAAGATTGTAAGATCAGTGTTTCAGATTTTATTCGCTGGCCTATGATACAGAGACTATCGGTGCAATACATTTTTCCTTTGGGCATTTTTTGTGAGCCATAAATGCTAAAGGCAAACAGGAACTGCAAGAGTTAAAATTTTTGCTTCCCCCCCCCTCTACTGTATGTAGCAAATTTGGCCTGCCATTCCTTTGAATGGCATGTAAAGCAGCCCCTGGCTGGGTGTAAATCTCCTTCCTCTCTCTTCCTTTCTGACTTTAAAATATGCCTGGCAAGGGTCCAACATTCCCCTTCTCCTGGCTTTAATCCATTTTACCCTCCTGTTCAGCTGACCAAAATTCAGAATGAAAAAAGCAGCCGTTCCCTATATATAACCACTCAGAAGGCCCTTAGCACGGTTGGAAAATACATGCTACATATATTGACCCTCATTAGCACACTGGATCTGTTGCTTACACGTTGCAGGTTTTGAAACTGTCTCTTTAGAGACCCTTTAGAATTTATTTATTTATTTATTTATTTTTTTTGAGTTTATGAAGTATCCCACAATAGCAATTCTCAAGTCATTGATGAAGGACCAAAACACATAGCTTTGTTCATGGGCTTTGCATTGTATCAGGTGTTGAGAGCCGAACCTGAAAAGGCACTTGAAATTCCATTAAAGTTGCATTCATTTATCTAAAAAAGCAAAAGCAAAAGAAGCCAATCTTCTTTGGAAGTTTCTCTCCATAGGCATCATTAAAGGGAGGATGTGTTCGATGCCTGTTTTATGTCACTAAAGATGAATGGTTAACTATTCAGGTGCAGATTGCTTACAGGGGGAGCTGATGCTTGGTAGGGGGAAGGAAAAAAAAAAAAAAAACAAGAAAACACAGCAGCTACATTAACTGCCCAGTCACTTGGAGTAAAATAAATATAGAGATGCCCCCACATGTTACAAAACATCAGCTTTGGTGCTTCTCAATATATCAGCATTGCAAACACTTAAAAATCGGTTCCGCTATCCCGTCTTAGGACAAGACTATGTGGAAGTCTCTAAATTCCAATATTTAATGATAATGCATATTTTAATCCTGACACTGCTTTGTTCAAAAAGCAACCTCGGAATGGGCCTTTTTATGTTTAACTTCTAACAACCAATACAATAAAAGCTTTAAGAACAAATATATTTTGATGCCTAGCTAGTAGCATCATGGGTACTGTTATCACTCTCCACGAATAAAAAAAAAAATCATCCCAGGATGTTGGGATTTTTATTTAAAACTCCATCTAGCTCAGGGTTGCCAGACTGAGCAAATAAAAAGACAGAAGATACACAGTCGAAGTTGAATTTCAGATAAAAAGCAAATATTTTTTTTTAGTATAAGTATAACCCATGCAATATGTAGGGACATACTTACACTAAAAAAAAATTATTTGCTTTTTATCTGAAGTCCAGCTTTAACTGAGTGTGCTGTACATCATCCGGCGATGCTTGTCTGTCTTTGTTGCCGTGCTATGATTTGCTATGGAAAGCACAGAAAGCTAGGTCCCATTTCCAGGGTCAAAAACAAGTGCCGGAGTTTCTTGTCTCACTCCATCTGCCAGCTTTAAAATGTTGGCGCATCAACAAGACCAGCAAAGCTTCCTCTGCCGCAGTAGAATGCATTTCCAATTAGTCATTTCACTTTCTCAAATGCAGGCAGAGACCCTACCCACTTAAGGAGAAGATAAGAACTGATAAATCAAAAGGGGGAAAACAAAAAGTTGGCACAACCAGAAAGGGAAAGAATCTTTATCAAGAAGTAACAGAATTAGGAGTAAGTTTGAAGCAAGCCTTTTCTAAAACGACAACAAAAATGTTTAGAATAGTGAGATGCCTCGGAAGAAACTGCACTTCATCCGAAATAGAGGCACGCACCATAGAAGGATAGAGTGAGGGGGAAAAAGACAAAACTTTGTATTTATTCGCTAGCAAAGCGATTTTTGGATAAAAATTCCTATAAGAAAGTTACACGTTTTGTGGAAGATGGATTTACCAAGACATCACACCTGTCTTTCAGGAGCCTCACTAAATCGTTCTTGTAACTTACAGCAGGTGGTGAATTTTTTTTTTCTTATTTTGGCTAATTCAAGCTTCCAGGTGCTTTCTATGATATTCCTCCACTAAAATATGAAGGGCTTCCAGAGATTTCCACTTTGGCTTCAGTGATCTCATCCACAAGCACTCGAAAGCCCACCTGGGCTGCTGTGTAACCAGGCAAACCTTCCGCCAGGTGGCTCTGCCCTCCCATATCAGCAGTCCCCAGGGTGCCCTCTGCCCACTGACCCCCAGGGGGTCCGTGCAGATTCCTGGGCCACTACAGCCTGGCACTGTGCATTTCCACGTGCTTCCCTGGTGACTCTAATCCCAGTGCACGTGGAAACCCCAGCACACGGGGGGTTCTGTTTGTTTGATGGAGAAGCTACATGCAGTGGGCTTCCTTTGTGTTTGGAACTGGGTTGTGGTTTTGGCTTGTCTAGGAAAGAAACCAAGGAGAGAGATCACAGAAATGCTATTTGTATAAAAAGGAGCATGGTAGCTAGGCATGGTGGTTCTCACCTCTAATCCTAGCACTCTGGGGAGCTGAGACAGGAGGATCACTTGAGGCTGGGAGTTCAAGACCAGCCTGAGCAAGACTCCATCTCTACAAAAAATAGAAAAATTAGGCAGGTTGTGGTGGCACATGCCTGTAGTCCCAGCTACTTGGGAGACTGAGGCAGGTGGATCGCTTGAGCCCAGGAGTTTGAGGGTACAGTGAGCTGTGAGGATGCCACTGCTAGCCTGGGAGACAGAGTGAGACTCTGTCTCAAAAAAATAAATAAATAAAAATTTCAAAAGGAGCATGATGAGTCTTGTTGCTGGTAAGAGAAGGACAATCATGAATGTTGCTAGCTTCTTTTTTAAGAGATAGGGAACTCTAAGGAGAACAGCCTATTTAAGAATCATTATAAACAACAACAAAATAATTTGATGTTAAGGGATAAATTTATCAAAATTGTGGAAGAATAGGTAAAATAAACGAAATCTTGTAAGTACGGAGTGACATGGAGGAAAATTATATTTTTGACCCAGATTTCTCAATGCCAAACCTAACTTTTTATTTTTATAAATTGGAAGTTCATCGTTGCCCTTTCTGTGTTAAAGAGTCGGCCCATTTTTTGAACAAGGCAAAATTTTTGTTTATTTTTAGTAAGCAACCTCATAATTGAAGATGAATTAATAATTTCGATGGCCTATTAGTAGGAAATGGATCCATTCGGTGTGCGAACCACTGGAATTAGCAGTGAAATACTTAAAGGGGAAAAGGATTTGTAGAATGTAAAAGCATGGAATTCCTCTTCAGTGTATGTAAAAAGAAACACTTGGACCTCAGAATTAAGGAAGAGCGGAGCAAAATATTCACCACTTGTTGGACTGAGTCCATCCTTTAAAAGATAATTCCTCTCTCTTATCACCAAATACTTTCAGGAAGTGGATTTTGAATGATGTCCTAAACTCTAGAGTTTTCCTCCGGTGCCTTAGGAGTGGAAGGTATGACTCATGCAACCCCCCTCACGCACCCCTAATCCGATGCCAACCCCTCATCACTCTCTGCTAGAGGCAGGGAGGGTCATGCAGCGGTTGCCATGGAAACCTACCAAGTTCAATGTCCTGAGAGCTCAGGCCAGTTGTTTAATTACTCCATGCCTAAATATCCTCATTTACATGAACAACATGCGAGTGCTTCTGATAACCTCGTAAACAAGTTAGTTTGGACGAGTGGATGAGTTGACATACCTAAAGAAATTAGAACACTTCCTAGTACCTGGTAATGAACTTTAGCTATTACTTTATCTGTTTCTGTACTGGGGCTTGGTGCAAGAGGTTTTATTTGGAGGAAAAGTTCTACTTGACTGCCTTTTTAAAAGTTTTTGAAAAGACTACAGCTTTAAGACATTATTTCATCATTGACGAGCATGGGTTTGTCCTTTGGCCAACAGCCAAGTCCCTTCCCCCTTTCACCCATTAACCCTGAACTCTAAGTGTTAAGCACTCGGTTCCCTCCCTTCCTCGGACCTAACTGAGGATGATGTCATTGGAGTTGCAGAAACTATTTCATGATCATCTTTTGTTTTTCTCTCTCCCTCACTTTCTAAAGGAGAAAAAGATTTTATTAATTATCTAAGCCCTCGGAGGCCTTTTGGAGGTGCTTTCTCTATACAGAGCTATTATCATCACCCACATTTAGTGAGGTACTTGGGGATTAAAAGTGTTGTGTAAATGTTTACACATGATTACGCGGTGGCCCAAGATTCACAGTGGGACAACACAGACAGCCCAGGAAGAAGCATGAAGTCCCAGAGAGGCAATGATTTTTGCACGAGGTATGAAATTCTCTTTTAATTTTAGCATAAAGATAGCTGCACTTCTGAAGGGAGTCATTCACAGCCATTAAGGCAGCGACATGTGACTGCTAAAGAGAAAATGAATCTAAACAGAGGGTGTGCTGCATATTTTAAGACCCATGGAGTCCGTGGAGAAAACGGGGTGGGCGGGAAAGGATCTAAAATGCTGGGAGAGGCGTTTGGACTGACTGGATCTTCCTGACGACAAAAGCAGCTTGCTTCCGAAAGCTGTCGCCATATCTACCCACCCCACCCCACCCCCCGCCCCCCATCTCTGGAAAGAACAGAGATTCTCTTTCTTGGTAGGTTCTGCCTAAAGGCATGAAATTGGGACCTTCCCTCCTGGGTGATGATTTTAAGCAGTTGGGACATGACAAAACATTGAATCACACCCCTGTCCTCTTTAAATCTTCTTTCTTCATTCAGAGGGAAGTCTCCTCTTGGGCTGCTGTAGGTAGGTGTGTCCTTAAAACCCCTAATACTCCCTAAAATATCTTTACAACAAAGAGAAAAAAAAAGACCTAAATCAGAGCCTTCAGCTGGTCCGTGTTTCTAGCTATAATACTTGTTTCATTTTAGTTGTTCCCTGATGTTGCCTTCTACCAAAGACCCAGGGAAGCTCATTTTCCTTTTATGGTAATGATCTCAAAATTTTCCTTTAGAAATAAGTGCAAGAAAACGGGGGATTTGATATAGAGAAAGAATATCTAAGAAAGTTCCCGTGGCATGCAGCTATCACCAAAATCTTGAATGCCTGGGCAACTGCAGTCTGGAAGCCACTGGACCAAATGACTTCAAGGTCTTGGCTAACGTGCAGGACTTTGTGCAGGACTTTGTTAGGACAGGAGGAAGAGCTTCACTTGTAAAGGTTTTTAGCCGGAAGCAGCAACCTCCCGGGAAAACAGAAACCCATGCTTAAGAGGCAGTGCTTAGGAAAATCAGAAATCTGTACATTCACAGAGAACCCATGAGGGTGGAGAGGGACAGAGAGAGGGACTGTGGCCAGCAGGACCACCACACTGCCCTGGAGATTTTTAAGCATGCGTTATGCACACTTTCAGACACTCCTTGAGCGAATATTTGGTTTTAAATAAAGAACAAAAGACACACAAGCTGAGGAGGGGGGAGAAAGCCCACGCCCTTTTCTCTAATATTTTGAGAGATTCTGCATTTCCCTCTGCATGTTTATTTAGAAACACAAGGGAGAAAGAAAAGAGGGTGGGAGACGCCGTGTAGCAAAAATCTCTGCCAGAAAACATACAGTAAATTCTAGCTTGTTAGCAGCCCGGTTCCAAATGATTTTTTTTTAAAAAAAGAAACAAATTCTAACTGTAATGTAGTTGCAGCCTCAGAGGGAAGCTCTAAGCCCAATGTCAGTATCCCAGAAAGCAAGCCACAAAAAAAAAAAAAAAAAAAAAAAAAAAAACAAGGAAGAAACCCACCCAGCCTTCCGACAGGAATATGAAAGTGGGATCTCCGAGGCAGGAGAATATACCCCAGAGGAGGAGAAGACTGCAGCTTGCAGTAATCTGTAAATGATTGCTCGTAAAGTCCGGAGGCTTCAGGCTTGATCTGTGTTTGTTCCAAAAGAAAGCCGAGGAGGACGGTGTTAATAAAGAGAGATTTAACTGAGAGCTGTGCTTGGAATAAAGCGGGCTACAAAAAGGTCAAATGTGATCAGTTGGAGCAGATTACCGGGGCTTTCGAAGGTGGTGGGAAAGCAGGGAGTGCCAGGTCGCTGCAGGAGTGGGGAGAAGTCAGGACGAGTGTGCCTGTCAGCCCTGGAAGGAGGGGGCCTGCGCTGGGCGCCTGTTTGCACCCTGCACCCTCCCCTCCCTTCCTCCTCTCCGATGCACCCTGGGCAGCTCTCAGACCATGGTCTCCTTAATCTCTGACTCGGAGCCCCTGAAAGACTGGAAATTCTAAGGTAGGCCTGCTTTGCTTCTCTTGCAACCCTGTTCCAGTTCAAGGCCAAGTTGCTGCCCTCCCCTCCCCCCTCCCCCCCCCCGCCCCCAGTGAGGAAGAGTGCCAGGCTCTTTGCAAGCCTGTCCTGGGCTTCAGTGACAGGAAGATCTGGCTGCGGGGAATCTTGCAGTTTGGTACAGAAACAGCTTCGAGCAGATGTAGCAGGACAGGCATGCAAACCAACGGGAGGGAAATAAGGGTGCTTTTCTAATGAGAGCGCACGGGCTTATTTAAATCGTTCCTGACACCAGCTGACTGTGCTTGTATTTAATTACTGGTTTCACTGGTTGCACTGAAGAGATGAGACAGAAGGTGGCAAAACTTTGGGGACTTAGGGTTTTTCCGGAGGAGTTCGCTTTTGTTCTATTACAGGGCCTCCTCGGAGAGAATCAGGTGAAAATTGTTCTTTGCCCGTGACCTGTCCCCACCCCAGGTCTAATTGGCCAAGTGAGTCACCTAAAGACCTCAGCTGACGTTGATACAATGAGTAGAATTTATGAAATGAAGTCTTCCTCTGAATGCTCCGAAAAAAGGTGAACTCTGACCACTTCATCTCTCTGAGGCCAGAAAATTTAGAAACAGGAGGAAAAGTGGCAGAGTAGATGTGTCACCTCTAGTTGATCTAAGCTGATGCTTTTGTAGGGTTCACGATATTAGTAGGTTTAACTTAACTCTAAATGGTATTTCCTAGAAAAGCGTTTTGGCAATTTTTTAACATATAAAATGTTGAATGGAGGGATTTTTATTAAAAGTGGTTCTCTGCGATGTCATGGTTCCTAATATTTATCCCAAAACATGGTTTCATAGGAGCTAGTCCAGAACTCAGATAAGGAATGCAATGAGTAGAAGCATGTGTGCTCCTGGTACTTCTTTTCCTGACATTTATATTAATTAGCTAATTTCTCACTTCCCATTCTTGAGTTCTGCCTTAGTGTTCGTCTAATTTATTATTTTTAAAAGCAACATTGTAGAAAAGAGTAAATAAAAAAATTGCTAGTATCCATCTTATTTTCTTTAAAAGTTAGGCATCTTTCTAGAACCTTCCATGTATGCATTTGTATACCATGTAATACACATTAGTTGATAATCTCTTTTCCAGTTAATAGTGTCAAATATTTTTCCATGTTTCTGCTTACCTTTCATAACCATAATTTTAATGACTAAATAAAACACTAGAATGTTGATATACATGCTAAATTATCTGTTTGAAAGTTAGATTAGTTCTGTTTGTATTAGCAACACAGTGAACATCTTTGTATATAACTTTTTACATTCATTAAACAATTCCCATAATTTCTTTTCTTTTTTTTTTTTTTTTTTTTTTTAAGACAGAGTCTCACTTTGTTGCCCAGGCTAGAGTGAGTGCCATGGCGTCAGCCTAGCTCACAGCAACCTCAAACTCCTGGGCTCAAGCGATCCTTCTGCCTCAGCCTCCCAAGTAGCTGACTACAGGCATGTGCCACATGCCGGCTAATTTTTTCTATATATGTATTAGTGGCAATTAATTCTTTCTATTTATAGTAGAGACGGGGTCTGCTCTTGCTCAGGCTGTTTCGAATCCTGACCTTGAGCAATCCGCCGCCTCGGCCTCCCAGATGCTAGGATTACAGGCTGAGCCACCGCGCCTGCCCAATTCCCATAATTTCTAAATGAAAAAAGTACAACATTTTCAGGGTCTTTGGTATATTTTTTTTCTGTTTGCATGTTTAAACTTTACCTTTAATTGAGAAATGGTAAAGTACTTTGGTAATGTGGTTATGATACAACTGTTAAAATATATTTCTTCTCCTTTCTTTAACTGGATTACTCGACCTATCTCTTAAACTGAAATAAATTTGATGCTTTCAAAAATTTTTTCCAGGATATTAACTTAATATTATTGCACAAGTGGATAGGGTAGGCTGTAGCACTAAGAATGTGACTACAATTGCAAATTTGGAAATGTTAGTCTTCCAAAGGCGTGTTTAATAATTGATCCAAGTCTTAACCCTTTAAAAAATTTAAAAATCAGTGAGAATGTTGTCATTCCCTAGGTACGTTCCTAATTTAATTTTAGTTTATGGCTGCAGCAAGTAAAGCTTCACAAACTTGAACACGGGAAAACTGAGAAAGATAAACATTTTTACAATGACTACTTGGCTACACCAAGTTCATTCTGTCCACACCTCTTCTTGGCAAGCATTATTCCATCAGCTTTTAACTGTGTGTGATCCTTTCCTGAGGTTAGGAATTACAAAGGGTAGAGTTTATGAATTGCATCTTAAACTCCTTAATTGTTTAAATGAGGCATGCTTGTGGCTAATTCTGATTCATTGACCTGTTCACGCACCAATAAGTCTTGCCTATAACATGTGGGAGACGCAAAGATACACACCACCTTTTAAGTGGGATGATCTGGCAGGAGAATGAGATGTATGTTAATGCCATACACAGTTGTCTGGCTGTGAGTTATGTCAGTGAAACCTTTAGAAATCTAGAGAAATGGGTGAGAGGCCCCATTCAAGTCAAGAAAAAGATAGATAATATCTTGTGTGAGTAACAATTGGGTAGAATGTTTGGTATATAAAGCATACTAAAAGACAAGCTTTAAAACCTAGTAATGTAAGGGTTCAGGTTGTTTGGCCAGATTCTGCCTGCAGTTCTTCCACACCTGTTGCTCCTTAGAAGTGATCACAAAGCACAACTGTGAAATCTGCACATGCACAATTTATTGTCTTAGATATGTATGCTTGGAGGATACAACTGCAGGATAAATCCTTCTCAAGAACTGTATATTTGAAATCACTCCACCCTGGTTCCTTTGTCACATGGAAAAAATCAAGGAGAGAAGAGCTTTATGGGCTTGTGTTTAAGTCCTGTCTACCTCAAGGACATGACAGAACCTAAGCTCCAGCAAAAGACAAGCCAACCACGGTCAATGTTGAAGTCCCCTTTTGACCGTTGGCAGAGTACAAACACTACAGCTTCATTCAAAGAAAAAAATTCAAAATAAGCTGTATCCATGCAAAGTATTC